GCTGGCCAGGGATCCTGCAGAGCGCCCTCCGACCTGGGTGTGTCTAAAGTCTTGCTCATGGTTAAACTGGGGTTATGGGTCTTTGAGAAGAAAACTGCAGGGGTGAGGTCCCCTCCCCATCATATCAAATCGAGCGTCCCAGGATGACACATCCACTGGGGACGTCAGCCTTGGTCACTCGGCGAAGGCGGCATCTGCCAGGTTTCCCCACTGTGGACGACTCTGTCTCCCCTTCCCCACTCTGGTCTTTGGCAGGGCGTCACTGAGTCCAGCCCACCCTCAAAGGAGGGGAGATTAAGCTCCGCTCCTGGGGTGGGGTGTTTACATAGATTAAAGGGAATTCCTCTGTAAGGAAGATTTCTCTCTTCTTCATTTATTTTGTTAACAAAATAATAAAATGATCATTTATTATTGCTATCCATCCACCATTTATTTACTTTGATGTGGACTCTCTCTGCACAGATTATGCAAGACAAGGGCATCCAGCACACAGCGGGCGCCCAGAACATGTTCATTCCTCTGCCCCCTACCCGTCTCCTGGTCCAGGAGTGACCCCAAATCTTTCTCCTTCTAAATGTTTAGCGAGACAAGTTTAAATATTTTTCCTGATTTTAAACGTGAATTGTGCTTATTGTAGAAAAATTTGACAATACAGAAAAGTATCGAGAACATAAGGATTCCTGGATCCCACTGCCACTATCTCGGTATGGTGTCTTCTCATCTTTTTTAATTACTTATATTTTCAAATTTACACACTTGCAATCATAAGGTGCTACAGACTGAATCGTGGTCCCCCCACCCCATTCCCATGTTGAAGCCCTAACCCCCAGCGTGATGGTATTAGGAGGTGGGACCTTTGGGAGTGATCAGGGCTAGACGAGGCCATGATGGGGTTAGTGACCTTATGAGTAGAGGAGGAGACCAGAGCTCACGCTCTCCCCCCATGTGAGGACACAGGGAGAAGGCGGCCGTCTGCAAGCCAGGAAGAGAGCCCTCATCAGACCCCACCCTGCTGGCGCCTGATCTCGGACGTCCAGCTTCCAGAACTGTGAGAGACGAATGTCTGGGGTTTAGGCCACCTGTTCTATGGTACTCGGTGATGGCAGCCCGAGCAGACTCAGATATAAGGTTTATCTCACCTTGATTCTTTTTTAAAATCAACACCCCCCCCTCGTGACATAGTGAGCATTTCCCTGCATCCTTACACACTCTCCCAACAACGACAGGACATTCCATCCTGTGAGGGACCAGACAGTATTTAACCCGTTGCTTCCAGTTTTGTTCTATTTTTACAGACAATGCTGGGGTGCGTATCCTGGTAGAAACCCTCGACAGCACTGCAGATGAGGTGAGGTTAGGGTTTCTCCAAAAGGCACTCTCACCAGGAAGCCAAGAGGGAAAGAAAAGAAACAAATGAAAAATGGGAAAACCTGGAAGGGGCCTGAGCACACAGCATAGGCGAGCGTACTGCTGCCGTTCCCTCAGCAAGAACGCTCTTCCTCAATGTCGGCCTGGCTCTCTCCTTCTCTGTGGAAATGTCACCTCCTCTGAGGAGCCCTCCCTGATTGCCTGCCCTAGACTAGCCCCCGCCCCCACCATTGGTCCTCTTGTGCCGTTTTCATCCCCATAGGACGTGTGCATGCACCTGCTTACCGTCTATCTCCCACTCTCTGAGCCATTTATTATTATAATGTTTACTGCTTGTACCTGTCTCCTCTGTTGGGGCAGGGAGTTTTGTCTGTTTTCTTCATTACAGTGTCCCCGGTCCCCTGACCATTTCTCAGCACACAGTAGGTGCTCAATAAATAATTACGGCATACACGAATGGATTTCAATGACGTTGAGAAAAGAAATGAGAAGTTGGGATCCTAAACCGTGGCCCACCCAGGTGGGTGATGTCCCCGTGGCGTCTGTGCCTGTGGATTCTAAGGAGCGTCTGGACTGTCCTCATGCATCCCACCTGCCAGGGGCGGCGCGGCCGTGCCCCCAGGCCTCGGCTCCGCACAGCACAGAGGACACAGATTCCAGACACAGTGCTGCCTGTGGCTGGACGGAGCGAGGGGTGTCCTAGGACAGGCCCAGGCAGGGCGGGCAGAGGGCTGAGCACAGGGGCGGGACCCCGAGAAGGCCAGAAAAGCACCAGCCCCCCTCGGCAGCAGACACCCGAAGAGGCCACCTGAGCCCCGCCCTCGGGAGCGAGCGGCTGGTGGTTGTCTGGGGCGGGGGGCGGGGGGGTGGGGGTGGGGTCTTAATTTGGGAAGCCCAGGCAAGGGCTCGGGTGCCAGGAGCTTATTTGGGAGGTGTCAACAACTGAATTGTCCCCCTCCCCAAACTAAGATATGATGAAGTCGTAACCCCCGGGGGCTCAGACTGCGACCTTATTTGGAAACAGGGTGTTGGCAGACGGACGCAGATGAGATGAGGTCTTACTGGAGCAGGGTGGCCCTGACCCAACGCGCCTGCCGTCCTGATCAGAAGACGGCCACGTGAGGACGCGAGGACTGGAGTGGAGGGCGGGGAACCGGCGAGCCAAGGACTGTGGGCCGCCACTGAAGCCGGAAGAGGCAGGAGAGCCCTGGCCCCGCGACACGGGGAGAGGGGACTCTGGCCCCAGACTGCGAGACGACACGTGTCTGTTGTTTCAAGTGACCCCCCACCCCGCTCCATTTGTGGTGCTTTGTTACTGCTCCCGGCTCACATCAGACCCAAACCACTGCTTGGCCTTCTACCCAAAGGACGGTGGTGGGATCTACGTGCATGGAAAGTTCCAGAAGCCTACTCCCAGTTAGCGGCAGCTACCAGCAGGGCGAGGCAGGGGAATAAAGTGGGACCTCACCGCTTACCGGCCTTCCCCAGGGGCCGCCGCACCTTTTAACAGTGAAAAATTCATTCACGTTTCCAAAAGCAGCGCCGGCCGGGGTGGGGAATTTGGCCTCCGCAGAGCTCGCCCAGGACCAGGCTTCACGCGCACCCACCTCACTCAGTCCTCGCGCCCCGTGAGGCAGGACCGTGCTCCTCCCCGTTTTGCACACGTAGAAATGGAGGCACAGAGAGGCCAAGTGAGTTGCTCAAGGTTGCAGAGCAAGGGAGTGGCGGAGTCGGGAGGGGCGCCCAGGCAGCTCTGTGCTCTCACCCACGTCCCTGAGCTTACGTCCCCCGAGGGCGCTCACCTCTGAGCTTCCAGGACCAACACCCCCCCCGGACAGTGGTGCTTGCGACCGCAGAATCTGTTGGAAATTCGCGGTCGTGCTCACATTTCCTCTCCCACCACTGAGCACATCCCCGGTGTCTTCCTCTGAACCTTCGGACCCTTTCTCTGGACGTCCGACCCCGTGACACAACCCTTCCCCACGTTCACACTTTTCTCAGCTCAGCGTAGTCCCCCTCTCTGCCCGGGTTCCCTCACCTTCCTGCCTCGCGCTTTGTCACTGCCAGGGGGGTTCATGTCCCCTGGGAGCCTCCCCTCACACCAGCCTTGCACAGCAAAACTCTGGAACCCATAAAAACCCCCCTCAAGCTTTGGACAATTGGGTGTAACCTTCGTCCCCAGCTGTTTGCAGGTGAGGCGCAAGAGAGAGCCTGAGCATCTCTCAGATCTGCTGTCTGGTCCTAGAGTTGCTATGCTCGGACAAGGTCTCCATGCACATTAGAACACCATGTCCCTTTCCCTCATCCTTTGCGTTTGTCAATAAATTATCACAATAACGGTAGAAATCTATGTTGTCTATGTATGAACAACACTCCCGAGATGTGCCTTGTGCAGTGCATGACATGAACAACTATCCACAGCAGCTCCTTTTGCTGTCCACTCCCAGGCCGTACTCTCAACCCTACCCCAAAATGAGCCACTGATCAAAAGGATGGGTTCTTATAAATCTTCCTCCACTCCCAAGGGGGGAAATTCCTTAAGGAACATGCACCATGACCAGGAGGCGACTTCAGCTCCTCTGTGTGCAGGAGGGAGCCCAGTATTGCTTCCCTAGTAGGCCCAGCCCAGGCTCAGGTGGGCAGGACCTTACCTGGCAATGTCAGTACGTGTGTGGAGCAGCCTCAGGACGGGGGAGAGGAAACACGGTGGGAAGGGGGCAGGTAGGGGTGTACATCTCTTCAGACCTGTCCCTAACCTTTTCAAGAGCGAGAACAAGGGTACAGATGGAGGCTCACAGAATGCATAAATATTTAAAAGCAACTAAATAAAATATGCTGCATGCTTCTCCTTCATGAACATACCTTCATAAGCACTCAGAAAGTCAGGGCGGAATTCAGAACCTGGACGTCTGCCCTGGCCCACGGCGTGGGGACAGCCAGTCCTACCCCTGACTGTGCCCTGCCACCTTCTCTTCCCATTCACGGCTCTGCCCTGCCCGGGGGCGGGGGGCTCCACACACACATGTACGGACACTTCCACTTGCACGTCCAAGCTCTGGCCACATTTGTGCCCACAGACACCCCAGGACACGTGGACAGTAAGGTAACAGACCCATGGAAGGGTCCACGGAATCTGGGCTTAGGCAGAAAAATTCCAGAATCCCGGATAAGCCAAGAGCGTGGTCTAGAAAGTGAGGGAGGTGGCGCCAGCTCCTGGCAGACACGTTCGCCAGCCCCATGGACTCCTCACCCCCCTGGGGAGGGGTGTGGCTGGAGGACGGCCAGCGGGAGCCCTAGTGCAGGGCCCCCTTGTACGTCCAAGGACTTTGCTCTATTTTTTATCCATGTTGGTTTTTGAATCACACAACCTTTACATATTCAAAAATCTAAAATCATATTTAAACACACAGTGAAAAATTATTTAGCATCTGCATGCCCCCTAGATTTCCATGTCCTAAGGGGCCTTCCCGACCTCCCCCTGCCATATCTTCAAAGGCCTGGGCCTCAGGCTGGGGCTCCTGGGGCCACTATGTTGTCTCCGGGCTGCCTTCCTGGCTCAGGGTCCCTCAGCTGCAGCCTCAGGAGCTGGCTGGTCCCAGAGGGCCACCTCCTGGTGACCTGGCATCACTTACGTTGTAGAGGAGGTCAGTCCACCCTTCCATGGTGATGCACTGGAAAACAGTCAGCACTGCAAACAGGATGTTGTCGAACTGAGTGATCCCGTTGTTGGGCCCTTCCCAGTAGGGCTGACATTTGGTCCCATTGGGGCAGGTGCGGGCGGGCTCCTCTGTCCCACACGGGGCCGGGGACTCACCCTGAATGTCATCTGTGAGAGGGAAGGGGAGAAAAGTCAGAGGAAGGGGCCGGCAAACCAGCTCTGAGAAACAGGAGCCAATGAGGATTCAATGCTGTTGGAAAAAAAACCATTGGGATGAATTTATCAGTCTTTTCACAAAAAAACAACATTTGGCTTTGTTGATCTATTCACTGTTTTCTATTTCATTAATTTCTTCTCTAAGCTTTGTTACTTTTCTTGTTCTTTTCCTAAACTTTCGAGATGGATTAACTTTCTTTAAGGCTATCAATTGCCCTTTAAGTGCGCCTTTAGCTGCATCTCACAAATTTTGTCATGCAATATTATCATTACTGTTCAAGTAAAATATTTGGCAATTGCCATTATTATTTCTTCTTTGATCCACGGATAGCCAAGAAGCATTTCTTTTTTAAAAAACTTGTCAGATATATACAAAAATAGACCAGTATAACAAATCCCCATGTGCCTATCAGCAATTTCAACACTTACCAACTCAGGGCTGGTCTTGTTTCATCTCTACCCCCTCCCCACCCTTTGCCTCATCACTAAAATATTTTTAAAGTAAATCTCAGACATTTTATCATTTCATCCACAAATAAGAAGCATGTCTCTTAATTCCAAACACGTTTAGGGTTATGGTGTTGTTACTGATTTCCAGCTTCATTGCACTGTGGTCAGAGGATACGTTTTGTATTCTTCAGTCCTTTGAAATCTGTTGAGATGCACTTTATGGTCCCTGATACGTCACTTGTGGGTAAATGTGATGTGTGCATTGTTGACGTGGCTGGGCGCAGCGTTCTCCAGACTTCCATTAGGACAAATTTGTCAATTTGTGCTATTCTTTTGTAGCCTGATTTTTTTTTCTTGAGATGTACTGGGCACAGGGAGCTGTTCTGGGGGCGAGGGAGGCCAGTACACACAGTACTTACCCTTAGGCACAGGAGCTAAGCTTTCTCCCCAAACAGCAGGAAGCAGATTGTGAAAATGTCACAAGGAAAGAGACACGTGCCAATGGATGCCCCTTTCACTGGAAACCAAAGGCAGCCTCCTGGCGGAGTTGGGCTGAGTGCTAAAGGTCGGGTCCAAATTCCAAGGTGTTGACGGGAGGGAGGAGGATGCCTCCGTGAACACACGGGGTCAGGGGGTGCAGAACATGCCGGGCATGTCCCCATGGGACCAGAGCAGCGGGTATCAGAGGACTTTGTTCAGTGAGTGACACTTCTGAAGGTTTTCAAAGAAGAGAGTGACATTGTCCACCAAGAAAACAAACAATGGAGCATGTAAACTCAAGCTCCCCATAAACAGAAATATATCTCAACGTATGAGGCTTCGCAACACCAATTCCCAACCTCCACTCAGCACGCAGCAGAGAGGAACAAACCAGCACAGACTGCGTGAATCTCACTGGCCCTTGAAGCTCCGGTTAAACAGAAACTCTGGGTGATGCGAAGTGACACCCATCACTCTCAGAAGTGACACCCACTGCTCATGAAGCAGTGACCACATCGGCCACTGGCTTAAGTTGCTGGAAACGCCTTCCCCATTCATGCCGGACTTGGTACAGGAGGTATTATTTAATATATACAGGTTGGAAGGCAAAAATCTTCTAAACATAAGGCTCAGGGAAGGGGGGGAATCCATGAGCTCCTATAATAAATGAGAACCACTGTTTGTTGGGAAGGTCGCCTGTGTCTGGAGCCTTCTCTGTCCCCACCCTGTGTCCCCACCTGGCTCACTTCCTCCCTGCCGTGCGGCCCTGTGTTAGCCCAGAGACACTGGTCCCTCCTTTTCCTCAGGCTCAACAGCTCCCGAATGTTCATGTTTGGGGGAGATAAAAGTATTAGCCTTCACCACTACGAACTTGTTGCAGACGAGGGGTCTGGCCTCCTCTTCTGGAAGCTCTTGGAAAGCAGGCAGCCTTCCTCTTTATCTTCAGGTTTCTCTGAGCGCTCAGCATGGTGCTGGGCGCTCGGGAACCGGGTTCCTGATGATAATGCAATGCAACGGAAACCTGTCTATCTTTAGCAGCTTTGCCCAGCCGCGTTCTTGACTGCGATCCCCCTCACCCCCTGCCCCCTCATCACGAAGCACTCTGAGGGCTGCTTCTAGAAAAGCAACGGTCCAGAGAGTCTGGGGAATTCGGTTATAAATACATTTTAAAATTAACCTGCTGCCTGGGTGTCTGTATATATCTGTCTCTTACTCACACGCCTTATATTTTTAATCTCGAGCTTTTCAGTCATCTTCCTAAATGGAGGCTTCCTGCCCTTGGCCCTACCCACGTCTGTCCCCTCACAACCCCACTCAGACCCAAGCCAGGCCTCTGTCCCCTTGGCTGGAGAGAGAGAGAAAAAATCCACAAAAAGCCTAAGATCCAGGAGTCCTGGTTTCTCTGCTCTTGGCTGATTTTTCCAAGGGGCCCTGCCCTGTATCTCTCCCTCTCGCGTTTCCGCCGGGTGAGGAGGCCAGGTGCAGAAATAGCTCTGCCTCAATTAACACCTTCTTCATCGGGGAAGGAAATAATTAGGACATCCCATATTGAGCAAACCTCACAAGCCCAGAAGAGCAGACAGGAGGAGCAAGAGAAAAGGAGGAAGGAAACAAAGCATCTCGAATGGGCCTGCCCCGCTGCATTCTCCTTCCCTCTGGGGAGGGCTGAGAGGGCTGGGCCATCGGGGTCACCTGGTCGAGAAGGAGAACGGGAGGCCGCCCCGGGACAGAAGCTTTTTCCCAAGAAGACAGTCCTGGAACCTCTTTCCTTTCCCACACGGGTGCCCTTTGGGGCTTCACTGTGCACACTCTGTCCACTCCCTGAACTCACAGACCCCTGACCCACAACGAGCGCTGTCATTCAGCCCGTCTGCACCGAGACGGCGGTGGTCCAAACATGGAAATACAGGCTTCCCTCCTCACTCGATCCCATTCGGTTCTCGGGCATCGGAGAGCAAACGGGTTTGGCTAGCAGGGCATTTAACTGTAAATGTGTCCGGAAGCTCCTGGGTCCAGTGAGTGTGGGGTCAGCGGGGACGCCGCCCTGCCGCCCTGCTGATTCAGAGCTGCGCCCCGGGGCGTGCCTCCTGCCTTCCGGGCTTTTCCCCAGCCCGTCCCCCTCCCCACTTCTTACCCAGCCACTGAGGGGCTGGCCTGCACAGTGGGGGAGGAGAGGGCCCAGGGCCCGCTGTGCCAGGTTCTGACTGGCTGCTGCCTCGACTCCCGGCACATTCTGGGGGGACCAGAAGGAGCCATCCTCCACTTGCCTTTTCTCCACCCACAAAGCAACCAGGCCCATTCCTTCCGGGCCAGGCCGCCCGCCCCCCTTTCTTCCTGCTTTAGGACACAGCCGGTGCTGGGCCACTGCAGGCACCCTGCCCACATCCTGTCAGCGTTACCCTGCCCCTCACATTCCCACCCGCAAACACCTTTGTTTTGCTCAGCCAGGCATGCAGGGTGGCCGGCCGTGCCAGGGCACTGATGCCCACCCAGGGGCAGTCCTCGCCAACGTCGGACAGAAGTTGGTGGACAGGTACCCAGCTCCCTCGGCCCTCAGGTGGGATGGTTCTGAGGTGGGTCCTACACTCTCCCCGAGGTGCCCACTGGGACTGAGCCCCATTGCCCACAGGGATAACCTGCTTGATAGCAGCCCCTCACCTGATGTCTTCCCCTCCCGGTCTCACTTCCCCGCTACCCTGATGGTGCTTCCTGGGATCACTTCCCAAATAAACCGCTCACCCCGGGACGGCTTCTGGGGGACGCCAACGCAAGGCCCTGGCAACAGCCGAGATCTCGGGGGCTATTCCACCCCCTGCCTTGCTTGCAGCGCTTTTGGAAGGAGGCCCTCCCAGGTTCCAGGAGAAAGACGCAGACCCCAGCACAACCTCCCGGGAGTCCGTCCCCAAGGGAGGGAAATAAATGGGAGGAAGGTTGGAAAAAAGCCCATCATGCCGCTCGGACCTACCTGTCCCCTCTTCAAAGCAGGTGGTATGAAATTTTCCCATATAAAATTCTAACCCTATGATTGCAAAAATAAGGATTGCAAAAAACAGGAGGAGGCCGATCTGCAGCAGGGGGATCATTGCCTTCATGATCGACTTCAGGACGACTTGTAAACCTGGGGAGACACAGAGAGAGGCCCACGGCCCTGTGAGCAGGCACCCCAAACCTCGCCCCGGAGACGCCTCCCGAGGGCCCAGAGCACACGGAGGCTGGGGCGGGGCGACGGCCAAGGAAGATGGAGGGAAGACCACCTGGAGGCCGGTCATTGTCATGATAGCAGCAATCCTTCCTGATGTTGTAAAGCACCTTTTATTTTTAAATATTTTTTAAAAAGTATTTGATATATGCTATGTCTTTTGATGAACTTTTGGGCTAAAACGGGTGGAACTCCATTGCTGAGCCACGTTCCCGGGTGTTGGGTGCCTTTCACCCAGAGAGGGCGCCTGTTTCTAATTTTTCCCACCAAGAGGGGGCGTCTCCTCCTCATTCATACAACAGCACCACACCGGCTAGCTGCAGCTCTGCTCGGGCAGGCAGTCGACGTCCCAGTTCCTATCCAAGAAACCAGATGGTATTTCACTGACTTCAGCACAACCCCATGAGGTGGGAGCACGTGTAAAATTACCCCCATTTTGCAGAGGTGGAAAGCAAGGCTCAGGGAGACGTCATGATTCACTTGAGGGCACGAGAAATAACAGAGCCGGGATTCAAACCCAGGTCTGAGTGGCGTCAAATCCTATGTTTGTACCGTGCTGCATATTAGGAAAGTCTCTGGTTAAAATTAGGGTTCACACACACAGCCTGAGGCTTTGCTTCTTGATTAGAAGAACATCCCAGGGCGCATGATTAGCATGTCTTGACAGGGGGAGAAGACAGCAAGAGGGGGGAGCTGTCAGGGTGGTCCGGGGGGCTCTGCCGCTCCAAGGGGTCCACAACGGAAGGGCGATGCTAACGGAGGCCGTGTGGCAGAGCGGCCAGGGCTCTGGACACGGACGCCGTTGGAGCCTGCGCCAGGTCTCCTCTGACACAGGTGCCTCCACCCCCCAGATGCTGCGGCCGCGGCTGCTAACAGCTGCCCGGCCTCTTCACAGAGTCGCCCTTGGGCGTCACGAGCTGCCTCACCCGGGAGGCTACTCCCTCCCCACGTCCCCCCCCCCAGTGACTGACCAGAGACGTACACAAGGCCAGCCTCCCTGCCGCGAGTTGGGGACGACTCTGACGTGACTCACAGTTCAGAGCTCCCCGCGGGAACAGACTGAGGCTACATCCTTGCTCGGCATCGTCCCTGCCCCTCCTGATGCCCCCCTTCCCCTCTCCTGACAGCGCTCCCCCAACACAGCAGGTGCATCTGACCACCTACCTAGCTCTGCTTCTCAGGAACCCGCCCAGTCATCCACTTACTAGCTGTGTGACCTCGAGCAAGTCAGGTCGCCACTCTGAACCTCGGTTTCTTCATCTGTAAATGGGGGTTAGAACAGTACCTCCATCCCAGGATTACATGAGAGAGTTCATACCTAGCCAAGCACCTGACAGGTCATAGGTGGTCATTACACAGAAGCTCTTGCTAGTATTTGCTTCTAGATGGCCTCAATTTAATATGACACAGGCACCTGCTGGAATCTTGCAGACACCTGAGTACAAGTGCCTTCTTTCTACGAAAAGACCCTGATGGTGGTCGTCTGGGAAGTCTTACTTTTTAAAGCCAGACAGCAGTGAACCTGAAGAATGAAGCCAGTGAAACGTAAAGTGGTGATAATAACAGAACCAACCTCACAGGCTTGTGTGAGGAGAAATGAGTTTGAAAAATGGAAAATACTTAGAACAGTGCCTGGCACATAGTAAGTGCTTATCAATTATCATTATTATTAACTGAGGCAGTAGGACGGAAAAGATCAGACCTGTTTTGCTTTGCTTTTTGTGTTTTTTTCTTTTTTTGCAGTGGAGCCTAATCCTGACCCCGAATATCGCAGCCGCCCCCGAAGGGTGGGAGAGAAGCGTCCCTGGGGAAGGAGACAGCAGCACGGAACGAGAATGGCCTGCGGAGCTCGTCACTGAAAAGATGTGAGAACTCAGGGGACCAACTTGACCCTTCTGAGCCTCAGCCTGTGCATCTGTAAAATGGGTTCACGGGGCGACTGTGAGGACAAACTAAGACAATGCACATAAAGCTCTTCTTGCGGTGCCTGGTACACAGCAGGTGTTCAATAAATGGAAACGGTCGTAGCCACCCATGTTACCGCCCAGGCTTGGAGTCACACTTGCTAACTCCTAGTTCTGCCACTTCTCAGCCACGTGACCTTGCTCAAATTATTCAGCCGCTCTGAGCCTCAGTTTCCCCCTCTGTGAAATGGAGACATCAGCGCTGTCAACTCCATAGGGTTGTGAGTACTGAACAAGATAATGTGTGGTGCTTAGCACGGCTCCCGACAGACAGCAGGTGCTCAACAAATGGGTGCTGTGGTTATGGCTGAGGCGCCCGGCTTGCTTCCAGGAGCTCATGCAGACCTGCAGCGGGGTTCCCGGGGGTCCCCTGGGCGGCTTCCCCAGAGCGGAGGCCGCCCTGACAGAGGCCGGAGAAGCTCTCGGGGGCCCCTCCTGAGATGTTCTGCCGAGTGGGAACCAAGGGCTCCCAGGACCCCCGAGCAAACCCCTCGCCAGGGTCGGGAACTCACGCACTTGGGATTCCGGACACCAGCTTGAGCGGGCGCAGCACTCGAACTGCCCTCAGCGTCCGCAGGTCAAACTCTGTCCCCACCGTCGCCAAGATGCTGGAAGAAAGAAGCCAGAGAGGAAAGCAGAGGGTGGGTTTCGAGGTGGACACGGGGGTGGCGTGGGGCGCGATGTGGTCACTTGCTGGCTGGGGGACCACAGGCAGGTGACTTTACCTTGCTGGCCTCAGCTTCGTCACCTGTAGAACAGTGTTGACAGTTCCGGCCCCCGGGACCAAAGATGATTTACAGGGACCCCAAATGGGTGCAGGGTTGGTGATGCTCAAAAGAGGTTGGACTGACAGGAATGGAAGCTTCCCCACAGCGCACGGTCAGGGTGACGTCCAATATACTTTACAACCCACAACAGAACGGGTCGGGGGAGGCGGGGGTCCTGGGGAGGGTCCAGGAGGAACAACAGAGCCTTTGGGCTTTGGGCCCTTTGCCAACTGGCAGAAAGGGGTTCAGAATTAAAAGCGTAGCCAGCATGGGTTCAGACCCCTGCTCTGCCACTTCCCAGCTGGGTGACCTTGGGCAAGCCACGTCCCCTCTTGTGCCTCAGTTTCCCCTTTTGTATAATGGGGATAACAACAGTACCAACACCACAAAGGATTGTGAGCGTTAACTGAACTGGCACTTGTGAAGCGGTCGCAGGGTGCCCGGCACACAGGAAGTGGGCTGAGCTACTCAAAATAAATGGAGAAACAAACGATGGGTGCGGCCCTGCTGGTGCGGCCCTGCTGCAGTAGCCTGGAAGGGGGCTAACGACCCCAAAGGGTCAAAGAGTCATGCTCTCAGACACAGGAGAGTGAGGATCAGCCGTGGGTCGGATGAGCCTTCTGTAGAATCCCCGCCCCCCTGGGAAGACGCTGATGAGACAGGGGGTCACTCTCCGACTACTCGTTCCAGGAACTTTTCTGGGGCACTCCAAGCTCAGACAGGCAGTGTTCCCAATTCGTTTTCAAGACTACTTCTAGAGCAGAGGTGACCACTTTAGGTTGGACTGACCTGTTTTTTCACCATCAACAAATGTGCCTCTGAACACAACCTGTGTGCTGGGCAGAGCAACACACGAGACCCTCCCTGCCCCACAGAGATGATGCAGAAGGAAAATGTTCAACAAAAAAATGCACACAATGAATGAATCCGTCACAGGTGTGATGCTTTCTCCAAGACAGCCAAGAGGACAACAGCCGTGAGGGTACACGGCAGGTCGTGTTAACCTGTCTGGGACCCGAGGGGCCCCCGTCTCAAGCTGGGGTCTCATGGACGAGGAGGAGGAATCTGGACTGTGGAGAAAGAACTTTCCAGGCTGAGGAAATGGCCAAGACAGAAAGCCTGGGGTGGGAAGGAGCTTGGCAAATTCAAGGAACGAGACGGTGCCACGGCGGGGATTTGGACGGTACCATGAAGCTGGAGGGAAGGCGGGGGCCGTGCCGTACAAGCCCAGAGGACTTTTAATGCAACTTACTCTATTCTTCTCTTCCTCTACCAGCCTTCCCATGTTCACTGGGGTTCCTTGAACTCCACCTTATAAATCATCATCCTATTTCTGCATCTTCCTTCCTTCTTGGCGGGTAAAAGCTGCTCCTTAGGGCACACACAGCACATGGCTAGCATTGGTTGAGCCTTCATTTATTCACTTTGCAAACATTAACTGAGCACCTACAGCATGCCAGGCCTTGCCTAGGGCCTCGGAACACGAGTCACAGGAGCCCTGTCCACGTGGGGGAGACTGAGAGTAAACCCAATAAATACGCCAGACATCAGGGTGATGAGTACGAGCAAGAAGAGTGATGCAGAGAGGCGGGGCATCAGCAACGGGGGAGGAGGAGGGGAGCGGTGACATTCATACCAATTGCGAAGGCGAATTGCTTTTTACTGCCCGGCAGGGAAGTAGTTCGGTGTTAAGAATGTTCAGACCAGTGCTGCCCAGTAGGAATTTAATACCAGCCACGTGTGAGATTTAGAATTTTCTAGTAGTCACATTAAGAGAGTAAAAAGAAATGGGTGAAATTAATTTTAATAATATAGTTTCTTTAACCCAGTCTACCCAAAGTGTCATCATTTCAACAGGCAATTGATATGAAAAATTATTAATAAGACATTTTATACATTCTTTTCTTTGGACTAAGTCTTTGAAAGCTGGTGTATATTCCACATTTACGGAATATCTCAATTTAGGGGCTCAGGGGCCATGTGTGGCCAGTGGTGAACGTACTGGATAACGCAGGTCCAGAGAAGAGACAGGAGTAAAGATGTGAAGAAAGCGAGGGGACGAGCCACATCAGTGTGTCAGGGGAGACTCTACGCAGAGGGACAGCCAGTGCAAAGGTCCTGTGGCTGGAGTGTGCCTGGTGCATCTGAGGAACAGTGAGGAGGACGGTGTGCTGGAGCCAAGTGAGCCAGGGTGACGGTGGGAGGCGGTGGGCAGAAGCGTGACAGAGCAGGTTGTGCAGAGCCTTGTGGGCCGCGGGGAGGACTTTGGCTTTTGCTCTGAGTGAAGTGGGAGCCATGGAGGTTTCTGAGCATTGGAGGGACATGATCTGACTTGTATTAAAATAAGACCCCTCTGGGGGGCAAGGCCAGAAGCCAGGAGACGAGGGAGGAGGCGACTGCACTGGTCCAGGTGAGCAATGATGGGTCTAGACCAGGTCGCGCCGGACGTGGTGGTGACGCTGAGACGAACTCAATCCTGCCCTTAGATGACGACACGAGTGCAGGAGAGACTCAAGCACAGGTCCCTCTGGCCCCAGGGCTGTGGGAGGCGGGAACGAGGAGGAGACGAATACAGACAGGAGGACTGGGGACGGCATCACTGTGCAGACCGAGTCTGGGGAGGCAGCACTGTGCAAAGTGTCACAAAATTTCAGACCTGGGGTTAAACCCTGGCCCTGTGTTTCTCACTGAGTGGCCTTCGCCCTGACTTGTCTGACCTCAGAAATGCAGATAATCCGACCTCCCTCCTGCCCAGTGCAATCCCTGCCAGCACCCAAGATGTACAGTCTCCCGACCCCTCCCTGGCAGGGTGAGGAGGGACTGGGAGGGGAAGAGGAGGAGAGGAAGGCAGCTCTGGCCGAGAACGCCCTGCAGAGACAGAAGGGCTCACTCGGGACACGTGGTGGGGAGAGACTGGTGGGCGGGACGGTGGAGGCTGTGACCCGGAGGCTGAGGAGGTGGTCTTGTCGTGTGGACAGTGGGAGTCACGTAAGGTTCCGGAGCAGGGGAGGGACGTGGTTAGGGTTGGCGTGAGGAAGACAAGCCTGACAGCTGGAAGGACAGATCGGTGGTGACGGAGGCAGGAGTTAGGAGGGGCCGCAGGAGCAGGCCATGTAACGAGGGCTGGAACTAGGACAGAGGCAGTGGGAGTACAAAGGAGGCCCCGATCTATATATAGCTGCCATTGATTTCTGCGCACCAGGGAGCTCGCCTGGGCTCGTCATATCCTCCTTGCACCCCAGGAGTCGGCAGGATGAGTCCCACTTCACAGAGGAGGAAACTAAAGCCCAGAGAAGTTCCTAGTGCATGGAGGTCTACACATCGAGTAAGACGTGAACCCAGGACCACCCCACATGGCTCGGTGGACGGGGCAGGGGCAACAGTGGGGAAGAAAGAGAAGGGAAGAACGGCTTCCTGGTTCTGAATGAACTACCAAGTGACAGTCATTCATTTATTCAACAAGGGTTTCTTGAGCACCTACTGTGTGCTGGCTGCTCAGGCGGGGACTGAGGACGCCACCATGAACAAAGTGACAATGGGAAAATACGTGGTCAGTCAGACCGTGTGAAGGGCTATGGAGAACAATATGGCAGCCACCAGGGCTTCCAATGGCAGGACTGGGCGTGGGGTGGGCGAGGGGGCGACTCCGGGATCTCGGGCTGGGCCACCTGGAGGATGGAGGTGCTGTCAACTGAGATGGGGAAGACGGAGGAAGGGGATGGGAGGAAGATCAAGAGCTGGGCTGTGGACTCGTTGAGTTTGAGAAGCCAGTTTTCTGTAACTCCCTTGTTGAAACCTTCCAGTTGCTTCCATCAGGCTGAGAATAAAATTCAAACTCTACCACAACCAAAACCTTGTGTGACTTGACGCCCGCTGACTGCCCTGTCTCGCCACAGTCCAGCCACCATGACTTTCTGTCCTGCCAACGGGAAAAGCTCCTTCCCGCCATGGGAATGTCATACTGGGCATCTCTTCTATGGCAAACCTGCCTCGTCCTCAACTCTCTCCTCCTCGCCTTGCTGGCCCTCTTCAGATCCTTCAGGGTGCAGCTCAGATCCTGCCTGCTCAGAGAGGGTTTCCGTGGCCCCCCTAGATAGAGACCTTCACTCTCTGGGATTATGTTGTTCATTAAGCTGTACTCATCATTCACGTGCTCTTCTAGAACGTCAGCTCCACGAGGTCAGAGATCCTTTCTGTGGTGCCTGTAGCACCTTTCTTGGCCTGGCAGAGCACAAGGTTACACATTCACAGTGAACTAAACCAGACATTCAGTTCCTCAGCCTCACCAGTTGTGTTTCCAGCGCTCCACGGCCACATTGGACAGCTGCACACAGAACATTTCCGTCGCTGTAGAAAGTTCCCTTGGATGGCGCTGCCTGGCATGTCCACCCTGCTAGGGCAGGAATTTCCACCTGTGATGTTCACAGGTGTATCCCCAGTACCCAACACTGCTCCTGGCATACAGCAGGCGCTCAATAAATGTTTGGTGCATAAATAAATGAATAAATAATGAAGAAGTGAAACATAGGAAAGCATAGTGATCACTGATAGAGTATGTTCTAGAAGAGATGGGAGGCTGGGTAGAAGATGGGACTTGTCTTAAACTAGGAGAAGAATCACGGAAGACGCGGATGGTTGTCTACCCAACGGCCATCCCCACCCCTCCCCTGCTACCCGAGCCCACATTCCATCAAAGAGGCAGAAAATGCCCGACAGTCTCTTTTTCCCAGGATTCCTTGCACTGGGAGCTCTGGTCACATGACCAGTCACGTGGATAACAGGACGTAACTGAGAGTCTGCTGGGAGCTTCTGGGAAAGGGTTTCCCCTCGAGAAGAGTCACACGGCAGGAGACAGCCCCTCCTCTTCTTTGCCTGAACGCTTTCGTGTCTACACGGGGTGGCTGGGTACACATCTTGGGATGAGGTGGCCATCTTGGGACCGTGAGTTACCAGGAAAGTCCTTACACCGAAGACGGCAGAGTGGAAAGACTGGAGACATTGCTGAGCTGCGGAACCAACCCTGTAACCAACTGCCCAGCCTCCAGACTTACACCGTGGATGACAAACATCCTTCCTAGTGGTTAAGAGCCAGGCAGCGGGCTTCAAATCCTGATTCCTCCCATCGCTAGCTGTGTGGCCCTGGGCAAGTCACTCAACCTCTCTGTGCCTCAATTTCCTGAGTGGTAAAACGGAGACGATAACAGCATTTCCCTTATAGGTGTGAGAATTCATGCTATACGCTTAGAACTGCGCTTGGAATTTAGTAAGTCCTATGTAAATGTTGGCTTTCACCATCATTAATTTTCATTAATTTCTGCTAAGTTACACAAGAATCGACTGATAACATTCACTGAGTTTATTCCCTTCTGCCAGGCTGGACGCTGTGGCTTTACACACCGAGGTCCCATTTTATGCCCCAGTATGTTTACCAGGTAAGTGTTCTACTCGCTTCATTGACAGGGAAACTGAGACCCGGAGGGGCTAGCTTAGCTACGTGTCCACAGTCACACAGCTAACACGTGCTGCCTGGATCCTGAGTCTGGCTTTGCTGCCTCCGCCATGCCGCCCCGGTTAACTCTGCCACCCCACTCACCCACTCCTGGGACCTCAGCCAAACTTATGCCTCCACCAACCTGAGTGCAGGAAGGAGCTAGATTTCTCTGTAGCTGGCTGGAAGTCAGGATGTCAATAAATATTTGCAGAGGAGCAACTACTATGTGCCAGGTGGGTGAGAAGGGGAACATGTGCAAAGGCCCTGGGGCTGGAGAGACCTCAAGGTGAAGAGTGAGGGTACCAGCTGAGGCAGAGGACAGGAGAGCGAGAAGGAGATGCTGGCGTGGTTGAAAAGCAGAGGACAGGACAGGGTTGCCATGGACCCCCCCAACCTCAGGTTAGAAGAAGCACCTGCCCCTTGTGGATCGGGGTCAGATCTTCCTGAGATGGGTACTGAGGAGCATAACTGCTTCCCAGGCGGCTACACTCCTCCCGTTCATGGATTGTGCAAATCCTCTTCAAGTTCATTCCTATATCACCTGGTATTTAGCTCCTCTGGGGAAAACAATTTCTAAAAGTCCTTTTCTTTTTTTGTGTGAGGAAGATTGACCCTGAGCTAACATCTGCCAATCCTCCTCTTTTTACTGAGGAAGACTGGCCCTGGGCTAACACCCGTGCCCATCTTCCTCCATTTTATATGGGACGCTGCCACAGCATGGCCTGACAAGCGGTGCGTCAGTGCACGCCCGGGATCCGAACCAGCGAACCCCGGGCTGCTGCAGCGTAGCGCGA